TCTCCCTTTTGACCAATCTTAAAAAACGTTTTTTAGTTAAATAAAAAGCAAAAGGAAAATACACATGGATTAAGGCTCCAGTGACTCCCCTCTGACAATAAACTAGGGATGTGAATAGCCTTGCTATCAAGCAGAGTGCATTTGTAAAGTGTATTATTGCAGAGTTAGGTTAAAAATTAACACCTTTCATTTGATCTCCCTTTTTACCCATTTAAAATCTGTTCTAATTTTAGTATTGTCTGCTTTATGATTGATTTTTGTTTTATTTTGTTATTGCTTTTAGGTTTTTTTGTTTTGGTATGTTCCTCTGTTTCTGAAATCCAGGAGAGGTAAATTTATAGAGACAGTAGCTATATTAATGATTTCCTAGGCTATGGCATGGAGATTAGGGAGCTAACAATGATTACAAGAAAGGAGAAAATGTTCTAAAACTGTGATGACTGTACAACTCTTAATATTATTGAACTACTTAATTGTATATCTGAATTATGTGTCAATAAAACTGTTTTAAAAAAGAGGAGCGAGGGGAGCCAAATAAGTCCTAAACCGCTGTAACATTGGTCAAAGGTTCTAACACTGAAGATCTTTACAGGCCCAGAACAGGCCCAATAGTAGAGCCTATAGTGACAGACAAGACCAAGAGAAGACTTTCTTACAGGACCATGAAGAGACCTGTCCTCGGGGGTGGGCTGAAAAGAGGACTGTATGGCTAAGAGGGGCTGAGAGAGCTGTCCTGCACTGAAGTAGGGAGATTGCCTATATGCTTCCTGTTCAGTCTTGAGTAGTAGCCTGATGCTCCTGATCACACATTATACCCTGTTCATTAATAAACCACTTAAGTTTGAGTTCTCAGTGGCTTCTAAAATGGATTATGCACAGGCGAAGTAGAGGGGCTATGTGAAGAACGGCTAGTGTCAGAATTCATAAAAAGGTTGCAGAGTGCCCTCAGGAACAGTAATGGGAGCAGCAATACCATAAGGGTAGGGGGCAGGTGGGGGGAGAAAGGCGGGTAATGGATTGCAGTAATTGACATATTAAACTGCCCTCCCTGCCCCCCAGGGGATGAACAACAGAAACGTGGGTGAATGGAGACAGAGGATGTTGTACAATATGAAAACAATAATTTATCAAGGGGTCACGAGTGTGGGAGGATGGGGAAGGGAAAAAAGAGCTGATACCAAGGGCTCAAGTAGAAAGAATATGTTTTGAAAATGATGATGGCAACATATGTACAAATGTGCTTGATACAATTGATGTTTGGGTTGTTATGAGATGTAAGAAGCTCCAATAAAATGATTTTTTTTAAAACAAACAAAAAAAGGTTGAAGAGTGTCTCCAGAGGTCAGCCTTGGGTTGACTGTGATTTGAATTAACCTCCTTGCATTTATGAGTGGGCTGACAGCTGTGAGCTGTATTGAGAGCTGTATAGTTTGCCTGTGACTCCCTCGACCCATCTCTGGTTCCATGGGTCGGTAATACGAAGGTGGAATGGCCCGTCTTGAATAAAAAAGGTTGAATCAGCAAGTACTTGTCCATTGTACGGTGACTTTGGCACCATTGGTGAGAACAGTCGTTTTGGCCAATAAGGTGAGTTATCTCAGTTGACTGCGGGGTGTAGGTTTCTTTGACCTTAAAGTGCCACACATAAAGGGTTATGGGCTTCAACCATTGTTAACAGGGTTATGACTACGGCTAAGGTGTATTTGAGTAGGTTCTAAAACTTGACAAACGTAGGAGGCCTCTTGACGATTGTGTCAGCCTGGGTAGACTAGAGAAACAAATTCATAAACATGCATCTGTATATAAGGGGAATTGAACATTGAGAAAACATTCCAACCCAGTCCAGTCCAAGGCCATAAGTCTGATATTAACCCATATGTCCGATACCAATCTATAAAGTCCTCTTCAGACTCACGAAACACATGCAATGAAGCCAAATGTAGGACGATCACAAGCCAGTGGGTACAAAGTCTTTGGGCCCATTGGCGTTGTAAACATTTCAGTGCTGGCAGGGGTCTCTCTTTGGCTTCTCCAGCTTCCGAGGTCTGGTTGCATCCATGTGGCTTGTCTTCTGTAATGTCCCCTAGGGAGTAGCAGTGAGAGGTGTCTTCTGCCTCTAAGGAGGAAGTACCAGATTTCCCAGAATTTTCAGAAGGCCATGCTCACAGAAGTCTCATTCGCTATCTCCAGATTGACAGCAGACTCCACCCCTACACTCTTAATCCTTAAAGTGACACCAGATTAGGTGACTCCCACAAGGATTAAGAGGAGGGTGCTTGACTCGGGAAATATGGTGCTACCTGGGGTCCCCTAAGAGTTTTACTGCCATAGGAGTGGTAAGGACTACAATGTGTGGAACTGATCACCGTGGTTATAGAGGTTTTGGATGAAGAGTCTTAAGAAGCACTGAGTCTCCTGGTTGCAGTGCGGCCACCTGAGGTTTGGACTGAGTCTTCTGGGTGGGGCAGGTACCTGTCTGCGTGTTCCTGGAGCAGCTGACTTAAGAGAGATAAGGGAGGTGGGATGGTAAGGGGTGTGGGTGGTTCTTGTACTGGTAAGTGGTGGTTAAGTAGGAATGGTCTTCCATACAGAGTTCACAAGGCCTAAGGAAGGTGGGACTCCAAGGGTAGGCTCTAATCAGAGCAAGAGCTATAGGTAAAAGTGTGACCCAAGACTGGCGGAGTTCTACAGAAAGCTTTGTGAAGTGATCTTTGAGGAGTCCATTAGCCCTTTCTATTTTTCCTGATGACTGAGGTCTCTGGGATGTGTAGCTTCCAGTCTATGTCTAGTGCTGAACATACCTGATGAGTGATTTTGGAAATGAAGGCAGGCCCATTGTCAGATTGTATGGTGAGACCAAATCAGGAAATGATGTGGGTTAACAGGGTGTCTCTAACTTCTTCTGCAGTTTCATGTTTGGTAGGAAAGTGACACCATCCACCCTGTAAGGGTGTCAACCATGGTAAGAAGGTATTTCAGCTTTTTGTGTGATGGCATGTGGGTGAAGTCTACTTGCCGATCTTGTCCTGGGAGATGTCTTCTCACCTGATGGGTGGGGAAGTTTGGTTTAAGTCCTTCCTGTGGGCTGACAGAGGTGCAAGTGGGGCAGGCAGAACAACAGTGTTCACAAGGGTTTGCAATGATGCTGCGTTACCTACCTTTCTGGGGTTAAGTTTCCTCCCTCAGACAGCAAGGAGTATAATTCCATGTCTGTATACTGTAGCTGGACACTGGGCAGTGAAAGGAGGACGGGAGAGGCGTGAGGCTGGTTTAAATTAGTTAGGCTGTGGGCAACCATGTCTGCTCTGTTGTTTCCGTGTTACCGGGGAATCATCAGTTTGATATCCTTTACAATGAACGATGGCCACCTGTGCATGGAGTTTCAGGGCCTTAAGAAGACCGGCAATTAGTTTAGCATTAGTGATGGGGGAACCTTTAGTTGATAGAAACCCCATTCTTTCCATATTGCTGCATGACACTGAGATATCAAAAAGGCATACTTGGAGTCAGTAAATATATTAACTGACTTCTCTTTGGCTATGTGTAGGGCTCAGGTCAGGGTGATGAGATCAGCTTTGGGGGAAGTTGTTCCTTCTGGCAATCAAGCAGCCTTGACCGTGTCAGTGAGTGAAACTACGGCATAACAAGCTTGGTGGTGGCCCTGACTGTCTATACTCGAGCTTTCATCTATGAACAGAGTGAAATCAGCTTCCGGGAAAGGCTGGTCCCTCAAATCCTGTCTGGTGGAAGCTAGGGTCTCAACATCCGTGCATGAATGAAAACTGGGGATTGTGTTTGATTGGGGTAATAGGGTTGCTGGGTTGAGAGATGGGGACTGAGAAAGAGTAATGGACAGATTTTCTAAAAAAAGCAAATGAAACTCCTGAACTCATGAAGGGGAGAGAAGGAAAAGGGAATGGTGGAAAGGTCCCTGGTTCGTTCCTGGGTTTCGGCACCAGATGTGAGTTCATTTGGTGGTAGAAAGAAAGAAAGAAGGCAAAGATAGAAAATAGTTTTAAAGGTTTACTTCAGAGCTCCTGGGTGAAGCTCACAGGTTCCCTGAATTGGAGCCAGAGAAGTCTTGCTGCCCGGAGGGAGAGGAAGGGTTTTATAGTACTGGTCAGGGGTAGGGGCAGTTTGGGGAATTTTCCATTGTGGTTTGGCTGTTCTGCAAGGTAGGCAGTTAGAACTCAGTAACAATGCTATCAGAGCTGCCATCTATTTGAGTCAGGGCTGCAAAGGCCATCATCAGAAGTTGTTGCATACCGTTGAGCATTGTTGTCAGGGTATTGCTCCACTTGCCGGCCCTACCAGTGCCCGTTTCTGCCTAACAGAAACTACCCAAATGTCTATTAGCTAACGAATGGATAATTAATTATTATTTGGCAATATAAAGGAGTGATGTAGTGATAAATGCTACAACATAAATGGAACTTGAAAACATTATGCTCAATGAAAGACACCATTCAAAAGACCACATATTGTACGATTCCATTGTATGAAATGTCCAGAACAGACAACTTTATATATAAAGTAGATTTCTGTTAGTTAGGGTGTAGGATGGGAATGGTGGGAAACAGAGATCAACTCTCAGTATGTACAGGAGTTTCTCTTTGTGGGGTGATGAAAATATCCTAAAAGTTATTGTGGTAATGGTTGCACAACCCTGTGATTATGCTAAAAATCATCAAATTGTATGCTTTAAATGAATAAATTGAATGGTATATGGATTATATCACAATAACATTAAATTACAAATCTTAAAGGCTGAATCAATGATAAAAGTGCTTCAAGGATGTTTACTCAATTGGATAAGTGATCTAGTGATAACCAGTGAATCTTGTCTGACAAGTAACTCTGATTCTTATTTTCAATGACATTTTTAGAATTATAACCAAAGTCCTTATCACTATTAAACATTAGAAAAAGCAGAAGAAAGTAATTGTTAATATGCCTTATTTCATCATATTTTATGTCAGGAAATAAGAAAAAATACCAAATTCACATTAAAGATAGCAGTTTTTATTTCATGTGCTTTGCAGGTATACCATTTACCAGATTATTTTAAAGATGGAGTAGTATGGCAGGAATTCATTCACTTTGCCCTCAGATTTACTTTTTCAAATATCACAATTATTTCTCATAGAAGATGCTCAAAAGACAGTGTTTGTTAGTCTTTCTCTTTTCTGGCTGTCAGAATTATAAAATTTAAATTAAAAAGCTCTGTGTGTACTGTCATTGAACTTGGAAAGAGTCAATGAAAAAAAAAAACCCAGAAATTTTTAGTAGAAAATTTGCATCAAATTTAGATATTTCTCACTTCCGATTATAATTCACAATTAGAAAAACTAAGTAATAAATGTCTTGGGATGTTCAAAAACTTGTTTTATCATCTTTTCTCAGACACTAAATTTTGGAATGGCTTTACAAGACTGATAAATGAGATTATGTTAAAATTTTCTCAGGATTTCTTCTGGAAAAGAACAATAAGCACAAGAGAAGAGCACAATAAAAGAAAACTTTCTGATTTGATTGGTCATTCTTAAGAACAATAGCCAGCACATGGTTCACAACAAAGAGGAGATCAGTTTGGAAGTCAAATTTCAATCTTTGTCACGAGGCAGAGCCTGACAAAGGCTAGCACCAATCACAGAAATAGCTGTTATATGAGACAGCTTTCTTTTCAGAATTACACATCTTAGACACCTTCATTACTTTTCCTAAATAATCAGTTAGGGTGGATTTTAAGAGGAGACTGAAATACTACCAGTTGATTTCAGATTCTAATTACAGGTTTTTCAAAGTCCGTCTGTAAATTGAAGCAAAATTACGGATTGCAGTTCGAAGAGTTGAGTTTTCCTCAGGTATATCACAGGAACTGATCACTGAATGTAGTGCTCGAGTATATGCTGCAAACAAAGATTTGTACAATATTGAGTAAAGTAAACTACTGAATAATTCTCCCAGATTTGTTCCTCCTTTAGTACTCCTTCTTTACCTAGAATTTTAAAGGTCCTAAGTTTATCCAACTAAAAAATATTTATTAATGACTTAGTACATGCTACTGTACTCGGTAAGGACAGTAAAGACAAAAAATTATTAAATTATAACTAATACTTCAAAAGCAGAGGTACATACAAAATGTCATCACAGTAATCACACTGGGAATATATGGATAACAATTTTAAAAGAGTATGAAATTGACTTACAGAAATGATAATATTTAAGATGTGCCTTAGAGAATAAAAGGAGGAAGGATATTTTGGATAGACAAATGAATATGTGAAATATACAATGTGCATAAGAATGTAATATATTCTGGCAACAGCAAGTTTTATAAGACAGGAGTATGGTCTTGTGCCAGACAAAAAAATAGACCCTTATAAGCATTTTGTACGTTAATAGGAAACCCTAGAAGTTAATAAGAGAAGGAATGGCAAGATCAGATTTGTATTTTCAAGTTATTAACTCACAAAACTGATAAGTAACTGATATCACATAGATGGAAACAATATCAACACTGGCACTATATTATGTATGTACATATGGTATACATTATCTCTAGAATATTAAATCAAAAGATTTAATGGGGTAGTGAAAACAGAAACACTAATGAAACAGAAACACAGAAAACATCAGGAAGAACTCCATTTTCTCCTGCTGAGACCCCTGATAAAGATGGAGTTTATACTGTTGCCCATTTTCCTCAGTGTCTTCTGTCAGAACTGGCAGACTAATGAAGATATACATGGTAAAATGTCTGTTAGATAAAATTAAAGTATTTGCATAACAGGGAATTCAAATCAACAGAGCCCTAATTTAGCCATACAGTATACACCCTAATATTCTTTAATTTAAGGAGGACCTGAAGTTTAAGTCCTCTTAACATGGAGTGAGCTTGAAGTATTTCTCTAATATAAATATAGACATGAAGGTAACAGCTGTCAAAGAGAAAGATAACTCTATGTAATTATTTTTATAGTTCCATGGGGTTTTCATATCAAAAGGTTATGAGTTTTTCATATTTGGTGTTGTTAGTAGCTGCCATCAAATCAGTTCAAACTCACGTGGGCTCTATGTACAACATAACAATACTGCCCAGTGCTACAGCATCCGCGTCATTGTTGCTGTTTGGGTTTATTGTTGTAACCATTGTGTCAATTCCTCTTGTCCAGGAAGTCCTCTTTTTTGCTGCCCCTCTACTTTATCAAGCATGATGTCCTTTTCTAGGGACTGGTCTCTCCTGGCATGTCCAAAGAATGTGAGACAAATTCTCACTATCCTTGCTTCTAAGGGTCATTCTGGCTATACTTCCATGACAGATCTGTCAGTTCATCATACTTTCAATATTCTTCCCTAGCGCCATAATTCAAATGCATAGATTGTCCTTTGGTCTTCTTTATTCAATGGCCAGTTTTCACGTGCATATGAGGTGATTGAAAACACCATAGCTTAAGTGAGACATGCCTAAGTCCTCAAAGTAACAGTCTTGCCAGTCAATACTCTGAAGAGGACTTGTGCTGCAGCAGATTTACCCAACGCACGGGGTCATTCCACCTCCCGACTGCTGCTTCGTTGAGCATTCATTGTAAATCTAAGCAAGACAAAATCCTTGACGTCAGTCTTTTCTCCATTTACCACGATGTTACCTACTGGTCCAGTTGTGAGGATTTGGGTTTTCTTTACACTGCTTTGTAATCCATACAGAAGGCTTCAGTCTTTTATTTTCATCAGCAAATGCTCTAAGTTCTCCTCAGTTTCAGCAAGCAAGGCTATTCCATTTGCATGTCAAAATAAGCCTTCCTCCAAACCTGATGCTACATTCTTTATATAGTCCAGCTTCTCTGATTATTTGCTCAGCAGACTGAATATGTATAGTGAGAAGACACAACCCTGAGAAGCACTATTCCTGATTTTAAACCATGTACTATTCCCTGATTCTGTTCCTCTAACTGCCTCTTGATCCATGTACAGGTTCTGATTGAGCAAAATTAAGTGTTCTGGAATTTCCAGTCTTCTTGGGACTATGATTATTATGATTCTTACAGTTAAATGCTTGGCATAATAAATAAAACACAAGTAAACATCTTTCTTGTATTCCTTGCTTTAAGCTAAGATCCATCTGAAATCATCAATGATAACCCTTGTTCCATGCCTTCTTCTAAATATGGCTTGAACCTCTGGGAGTTCCTTGTCAATGCACTGCTGCAACAACTGTTGGATGATCTTCAGCAATTAGTATTACTTGCATATAATATTAATGATACTGTTCTTTAGTTTAAGCATTCTGTTGGGTCACCATTCTTTGGAATGGGTACAAATATGGATCTCTTGTAGTCAGTTGGCCAACTAGCTGTCTTCAAATTTTCTGGCATAGATGAGTGCTTCCTATGCTTCATTAGCTTGTTAGAACATTTCAATTGGTATTCTGTTAATTCCTGGAGACTTGTTTTTGGCAAATGCTGTCAGTGCAGCTTGGACTTCTTCATATATACTAAGCACTCAATAAATGTTCAATTACTACTACTACTATTGTTATTTTAAATTGTCATCCAGGCTTAACTTTCCAAAAACTTACCTCTGTGATTTTTGTAGAAAATACAATTGTTGGCACAGGTATCGGGATGAGCATCCCAAAAATCTGGACCACAACAGCATAGTGGAGGTAAAGTAATATTATTCAGACGCATTTTCTCCTGGATCTGGGCTCTTAAAGCTTCTACGTATCTATAAAAATACAGTATTATCAGGCAGTTAGTTCATAGGAAGAGTGAGTATGAATGAGTTCACTAAATGAAGACACCTTAGCGAACTAACTACCAACTTTGTCAATATTTATGTGCTTTTCACTGAGGGAAAAGTACTAGGAAAAACGCATTTACAAAATCAAGAAATTTGGTGAAGTTCTGTATACCTCACTGATGGAAAAGCATGAGAAGATACACTATTTATTAAGAGATCATTTTACTTGGGCTCTTACAACAATCCATACATCAATTGTATCAGCATATTTGTACACATGTTGCCATTATTATTTTCTAGACATTTACTTTCTATTGAGCCCTTGTTAGCAGCACCTCTCTTTTCTCTCCCTCCACTGCCCCATCCTCATAACCCCTTGATAAATTATTATTTTCATATCTGACACCGATGCTGTCTTCCTCCCCCCAGTTTCTGTTGTTCATCCCCCTAGAGGGTGTGTGGTTATGTGTTGATCATTGCAATCGGTTCCCCCTTCCTCCCCTCCTCTCCTTACGTTTCCCCCTACTCTTTTGGTACTGCTATTCCCATTCCTGTTCCTGGATTCCGTGTGTCCTGAGCTCTTATCTCTTATCTGTACCTGTGCACACGCTCTGGTCTAACCTGCAGTGAAAGACAATACGGGGGTCATGATTAAGTAGGGGGTGAGGAAGCCTTAAGGAACCAGAGGAACGTTGTGTGTTTTATCGGTGCTTAACTGCGCCCTGGTTGACTTATCCCTTCCCTGTGAGCCCTCTGTAAGGGGATATGCCCATCAAGGTGGTTGTGAGAACACTGTCAGAACTTCATGCAGAACTTTTCAAAGTACCGTAGGTATTCCCTTTTTCTCTGTTGCTGTTTTTCTCTTTCTCCTTTTATTTCTTCAAGTTGTAATTGGGCTAATATCTCACTCATCTTTTCCTCTAAATCAGGTTCTGCATGACAGTTCATTCTTAGGATCCTCTGCTCTTCGGCATAACGTTCTTCCTCTTTCTTGTTCTTAATTCTGAAAAGAAAAACATAACATGATTAGGAGTTTCATAAATGCCTAAATTAGAATGAGTTTCAAGATCCATATGAACTCAAGACACTCTTAGGGACAGGGAGTAAAAAATCAGTTTAATATCCATAAAATATTCTCAAAATTTTCTGTTGGCTGGTTTGAGTTTAACTTGAAACTCATCTATATACATAGGCTATCAAAAGGTAACAATCAATGGCTATAATAACTGAACTTTTCAACCCCCCAGGTCCGGTGGGGAGATTGTCATAGAGGTCAGAGGACAGACCTGGAATTATGTATGCTTTTTTTGTTTTCTCTTCTTCCCCCCTCCTTTTATTCAATTTTTTGTTTTCTTTTTGTTTTGTCTCTGCTATTGTAGTTTTGCCTACCTATATAAGATAGGCATGGGAAGCAAGCCTGAGGAGAAAGCAACGGGACCAATGGTTCCGGAGGGACTTGGTGGGAGGTGGAGGCAAGGGAAAGGAATGGTGAGCAAACAATACCATAGACAAGGGAACAACTAAGGAATTAAAAGCAAAAACAAGAGGCCGTAGAGATCCCAGTGATGTTGGAGCAATAGCAACCTAGCTGAGTGGAATTATTAAGAGGTAGAAAAAGGGCAAGTGTGATGGTAGGGCAGGAAGAAGGTAAAAGGAAACAGAGGAAAGATCTAGGAAGAAAGCTATGGATACAGGTATAAATAAACATACTCATGTAAATATATTAATTCATAAAAATAGAGGTATTGGCCTATGGTACATATGTGGGGGTAGCCACCCCCCCCCCCAATAATCACAGGTTTGGAAGGTGCAATTATATGGTTAAGATATATAAAGATTATAGTAAATTCACAGAGAAATGGGAGCGATGGGAGAGAGTAAAATAAAGAAGTCAGACACACTTCATGGTAGCATGCTAACCTCAGCTCCTCTTGGTGGTACATGGGACATGTGGAGGTGGGGGACGAGGGGGCATGAGAGAACTCTCGCGAGGTTTTATTTCTAACCAAAGCTTATATATCTTTGCGGGCATGTAAGCCCTCTAATTATAGATAACAATCTACGTCATAGGAAGGGGTTGTAACATAGGCAATACAAGCAATAGGAGAGGGATGACTTAGAGGTGTACATGCAATAGCAAAGGGAGGGAATAGGGTTACAAATGTGGCAAGATAGGTGGACCCTAGACTCAATATAGTAGCCTAACCTTAGTAATTCTTGAGTGGTCCCAGGCTTGCCTTCGGGAACTCCTTCAAGGGAACAATATCAGAAGGGAGTGGGCCCTACTTGGGGTGAGTCAGAAAATAAGTCTGGTTGCTCTAGATGGCTGATACCCTTAAGGAGAATAACCTCTGACCTACTTTTATTGACCTGCTACCATGTGTAGCAAGCAGTGTTTTGGGTTTGGTGTTTTGGGGAGACAACTTGAGAGACATCCTTCTGTATCCTGCATACATATCTTTACATGGCAATACATTAAGGGAGTGGACAGATTTTGGGCCTCTCCTCATGATCTTCCACAATACAAGAACACTTTGTTCTAACAACCTGGCATTCTGTAATGCTCACCCTTCCAACACCATTGCTGAAGACAAAATGTGTGCATGAGCAAATGTAGTGAAAAAGCTGATGGTGTCCGGCTATCAAAAGATATAGCATCTGGGGTCTTAAAGGCTAGAAGTTAAACAAGTGGCCATCTAGCAGAGAACCAATAAGCCCACATGGAAGAAGCACACCAGCCTGTGTGCTCTTGAGGTGTTGATGGGATCAGGTAACAGGCACCAGAAGACCAAAAAGAAAACAAACAAAAAAATATTGTTGAGAACGAGGGGGGTCAGAGCAGAGTCCCAAAACTCATCTGTAGACAACTGGACATCCCCTCACACAAGGGTCACAGCAAGGGTTGTGTCAACCAAGGCACTGTATAGCACTGATGAAACACACAATATTCCTCTGGCTCTTTGAGGCTTCCTCACACACCTCCTCCTCCACTTTCATGACCCCAGTCCTGCCTTTCCTTTCAGTTCTGGTTAGACTGGAGCATGTACACTGGTATAGATAAGAGCTCATGACACATGGAATCCAGGTCAAATAAACCCCTCAATAACAGAAATGGGAGTAGTGATACCAGGAGGGTAGCGGGAAGGTGGGGGGAGGAGGGGAGGAAGAAGAAACTGATTGCAATGATCAATGCATAATTACCCCCCACTCCACACCCCAGGGGATGAACAGAAACGTGGGTGAAGGGAGAGAGTGGTCGGTGTAAGATATGAAAATAATAATAATTTATAATTTATCAAGGGGTCACAAGGTTGGAAGAGGTTGGAGGGAGGGAAAAAAGAAGAACTGTTATCAAGGGCGCAAATAGAAAGTAAATGTTTAGAAAACGCTGATGGCAACATATGTACAAATATGCTTTATACAATTGATGTATGGAATGTTATAAGAACTGTAAGAGCCCCCAATTAAATGATTTTTTAAAAAAGGGACTTTTTGGGTAAGGTGACCAGATTTTAACATTGGTAAAGCAGGACAAAAGCAGGACACCATTGATAAAACTCATATCCTGGTGAAATAGCCACATGGCAGCCGAAAACCGTATACCCTAGCTTGTCGTGCATTCTTTCCAAAATTCTGGACTTTTAAAAAATGCCGCGGGACGCAGGAAAAATTGTTAAAAATTGGGACTGTCTCGCCAAAAGCGGAATGTTCAGTCACCTTATTGGGGGTTAAAAATCCTAGCATAATCACTTTCTCTGGTTAAAACTAAAAGTAGAAAGAAATTCTGCTTTGGGCTAAAATGGAAAAAAATAACAGGAAACTGATTCACCTTTCAACATTAAACCACCAAAAAATATTTAAAAGAAAAATAATTTCAAAACACCAGACCATCAGGTAATAAAAGACAGTGATCAATAAAAGGTGAGAAATAAATACAATAAGCCCATAATTGCCTTAGCTTACTGCCTTAAAAATCTATAGTCAGGAATATATGATGAGGGGATTTGGTGAAGTCCAGTGGAATCCTTGAGGTAAGAAGATGGAACTGAAAATCTGGGAGACAAAGGCCACTACAGTTATAAGACAGAAAACCACAGGAGAAAGAATTCTACATAGAAATAGAATCCCAGAGATCTAGGAGGTCTCCTTGGAACCCAGCAGATAGTGTAGGCAAGTGAGAAAAGTATCAGGGGGCAGAGGACAAAAACAACAACATCTAAAAGTGTAAGGCGGGGCGAGGGGGGCGGTACTAAGCAGTGTTCACATAGTGCTAAGAATATTGTCTGTTTCTACCATCCAGACTTAAAACACTCATAATTCACAAGGCGTTAGGTGGAGAGTTTAGGAAGCACTTGCCCCAGTAGTGGGGAATAATAATTAGTTCTAGACTGAGAATGGCCCTGGATCTGCCTAATACATGCGAGTCCCCAAAGGATCTGTTTCTAAGTAATTTAACTTCATCCCCAAAACAAGAGTCAAGATTAGAAGGAATAGAAAAATATCCAACAACCAACAAGGTAAAATTTACAATGTCTAGCATCAAATCAAACATTGTTGGCTATGTAGAGGTAGAGGCAGGGAAATAAACCTGTAGTGAAGAAAATAAGCAATCAATCAAAACCCACCTAGACTTGGCATAGTAGTTAGACTCAGTAGAGGACATTGAAAAATATTGTAATTATATTCCTTATGTTATAAAAGCTAAGAATATACATGAAAGATGTTTTAAGGACCAAAATTTAACTTAAAGAGATGAAAACTACAATATCTGTCATGAAAGATACACTAGATGTGATTATCAGTAAATTAGATGTTGCAGAAATAAATTTAGAAGTATAGCAATAGAAATGATCCTAAATGAACCACAGACAAGAGAATAAAGAAAAAACAAAGAGAACTTTGGTGAACTATGGTACAACTGCAATTGGTCTAACATGCAAGTCATTGGCGTTCATGAAGTAGTAGAATGAGGATAAATATGGAGCCTAGGATCTGTAAGGTAAGGGTAGCTTAAGGGACAAACACACTTACAAGGAAATCAGGTAGCAGAATCCACGAGGTTATTACTTGTGGGCTACCAGCTTCTCCACAATCGGATGGGTCCCAGGGGTGCTCACGTAATTGAAGGGTAAATTAAAGGAACAACAGACAAGACATGCAGAGACTCACCTCTCCCATGGTGACTGGAACCAGAGTGATGGAGGAGTGTATTCTCTCACAAACTTATATAATCTCGGGCATGCAAGCCACATCAAATACATATATAATAGGAAGGGGTTGTATTAGAGCACTGGTTCTCAACCTTCCTAATGCCGTGACCCTTTAATACAGTTCCTCATGTTGTGGTGACCCCCATCCATAAAATTATTTTCGGTGCTACTTCATAACTGTAATTTTGCTACTGTTATGAATCTTATGTATTTTCATTGTTACAACTTGAACATAATTAAAGCACAGTGAATAATCACAAAACAATATGTAATTATATATTGTGAAATATTTATTTTTAAAGACAAATGAAATTTTGTCTTGGAGCCTGGTGTAGCATGGGTAACAGTCTTCATGCCAGGGTACTCATGTATGGGCATATCTGCATGTGGGCGGATCTGCCTGGAGACAGATAGAGGAGGGATTTTTGTTCCAAAGACCATTGTAAATATGTGTTTTCTGATGGTCTTAGGTGACCCCTGTGAAAGGGTCATTCGACCTACAAAGGGGTGGTGACTCACAGGCTGAGAACCACTGTATTAGAGGCATATGTGCAAAATTAGGGGGATGAGCAAGGGGTATACATGCAATAGGAAGGGAAGGTATTAGAGGCATACATGTGACAGGAAGATACATATGTAACAAGATGGGCGGGTTCTAGAGTTAAGATGGTGGCTTAACCTTGTCGTCTCTAAGCTGGCTTGCCCTTAGGTGTCTCTGATCTCTTCTCCGGGGGAACAATTTATGATCCTTATGAGAAGGGAGTGGGTCCTACTTAGGATGGGACAGACAATA